CATTCATTCATTTATTTACTTACTTACTTACTTATTTATTTATTTATTTGTTTGTTTGTTTATTTATTTATTTTTAGTTTTCAACATGCACTTCCACAAGATTTTGAGTTCCAAGGTTTCTCCCCATCTGTCCCTCCCCCCCCACCCCATGATGGCCTGCATTCTGATTCCCCCTTCACTCAATCTGTTCTCTCTTCTATTATACCCCACCCCTCTCTTATCCCCTCCCACTTCTATTTTCCTGTAGGGCAGGATAGATTTCTATATCCCTTTGCCTGTGTATCTTATTTCCCAGTTGCATGTAAATACAATTTCTAACATTTGTTTCTAAAACTTTGAGTTCCAAATTGTCTCCCCTCCTCCCTCTCCACTCACCCTCATTGAGAAGGCAAGCAATTTGACATAGGCTACACACGTGCAGTCATGCAAAACACTTCCATAATAGTAACCTTGTGAAAGACTATAATTCCCTCCATCCTATCCTGGCCTCCATTTACTTTATTTTCTCTTTTGTCCCTGTCCCTCCTCAAAAGTGTTTGCTTCTGATTACCCCCTTCTCCAATCTGCCCTCTCTTCTATCACCCCTCTCTCTCTTATCCCCTTCCCCCTACTTTCCTTTAGGGTAAAATAGATTTCCATACCCAATTGGGTATGCATGTTATTCCCTCCTTAAGCCAAATCCAATGACAGTAAAGTTCACTCATTCCTTCTCACCTCCCCCTTCTTCCCCTCCACTGTAAAAGCTTTTTCTTGCCTCTTTCATGTGAGATAATTTACCCCATTCTACCTCCCCCTTTCTCTTTCTCCCAGTACATTCCTTTCTCACTCCTTAATTTTCATTTTTGTAGATATCATCCCTTCCTGATCAATTCAGCCTGTGCCCTCTGTCTATATATCTATATCTATCTATCTATCTATCTATCTATCTATCTATCTATCTATCTATATATATTTTCTCTCCACCTACCCTAATAATGTGAGGCCAGATTTGAACTCAGGTCCTTCTGACTCCAGAGCTGTTGCTCTATCCACTGCACCACCTAGCTATCTTACTTTTTTTTTATATCTTCTAAGTTATCCTTCATTTCTGTATATTTGCATTCCCAATCTATTGTTCTTTCTCACTCTTTTTTTTTTTTTTTGTGAGGCTTGCCATTGTAGATTCAAGTTTTTCAATTCTGGTCACTTTTTTGCTGTTCGGGACATGAATTCTGCTCACATAATTCTCATTTCTCTTTTAAGCCACTCAGGAATGTGTTGTTATACCATAATATCCCTGAATTCCATAGGATCTTCTGCCTTATTAAATGCTGGTTCATTTTACTTTATTTTGCAGTATTTCTTCATATATGCTTGAAACTCATTAAGTGGACCATATTTTCCTGTGTTGTTTTTTTTTCCTATTGATTTATCTGTTTATGTTCAAGGTCTTTGAATTTTCCTGAAATATTTAGTATTTTCAACTCACTCCCTCCTTTTATTTTCCTTATTGCTCACTTCCTGATTCCTTCTCCTCTGATTATGGTTTTCTTAGGGACTGGATCCAGAGTGTCTCAGCTTCCCTCCCCACCACCCCATTGAGCAATTAACAGTTTGCCAGCCCAGATCTTTGCCCTGTCTCCCTTTTGAGTAGTCGGAATGGCCCCATCTGGGTGCTAAGCTCTTTCTCTCAGGCTTGGTGGAGAACCACACACCTACCCACACTTATGGTTTCTTGTCCTGGTGACCTGTCCTACTTCCTCTGTTCCTCAGTTCTCTGGTCTGGCACTAGCAGTTCAGAGCCCACTTTCCCCAGTACAAGCAGCTCAGAGCTTTGCAGAACTGGTGCTTGCAGGTTGCAGCTCCTGGCAGACTTTTGTTCCTGAAGGGCTCTGGACAAAATGGCTGTCAAGACCCAAGGAAACTTTTGCAACCTGGAACTGAGGTCTGGATGGCACTAGAAAGAGGGAAGAGGAGCCAGGGTGAAGGGTTGGGTCTTGATGTAAGCCTGTACTGTATCCTTGGATTTGCTAATGCAAACTTGTTACTGGTAGCATTGTGGGTGGGGGAGGGGTGCTGATTGATCTTAGGATCAGTGAGCATCAGTTTCTATTTTGTTTTTAACCTCCTTTTGGATTCTAAGTGCCCTAGACTATGCAGCCAGATGAAGTTCTTTTATATTTGGTGCATAATTTCTCTCTCAGATAGGTTTGAGAGGTCTTGGTAATTAGATAAAAGTCCAGTTTGTCATCTTTTTGCTCATGTGACCCAGAACCTCACATTTAATATTTAATGCATTCTACTTCACTTCAGTCACACACAAATATGGCCACATTCTAGATTATGTCATTATTTGATAAAATGAGATCATATTTGTAAAGTGTTCTGCAAACTTTATCATGCTATATGAATACAATTATTATTGTTGTTATTATTAATACACACTTCCTATTTTGGATGCTGAGATTCTCCTTCAATCTTCTTTCCACAATCTTCCATAACCCATAATTTGATTTCTTTTTGAACTATTTTATTTCCCTTCACTCATCCTGAACCTAGTCTTTAACCTTATGATTTTCAGGTCCTCAAGCCCTCTTGTTTCTGTCAGCCAATCACTATTACTTTACTTCTCTCATTTCCCTACAGTTCAGCCTGTATTCCTGAGTCAGCTATAACACAGATATGTTTACTATTACCTAAAATCCCTTGTCCCCCTAACTTTCTACTATTTCTACTCTGACAATTCCCAGTTGTGTAAAACCACTACTATTAGCTTCCAGGATGCTCAGTACCACTAAATAATGTCACAAAATAGCTGATTTTGTTCATTGTATGTTGTTGCTGTTATAAAACTTCAGCTGAGTCTTCACTGTAACTCAGAAAACTTATATCTTTTACTCAATTCCCTATTATATTGCCCAAAGCATTATTTCTAAAATTCCTGTAGCTTAACATTCTTCTTTTCTCATCCCTGTTCAAAACCTTAGTATATTACCTTGCCTCCTATTTCACTGAGAAAATCATAGCCCTTTTACTTCCCTCTTTACCACAAAACCTCTATCTTTATCTATCTTATTTTCCTACCTCTTTCTGAAGAGGTGGTAGCTATTCATTCCACAAATAATCCCTGTACTCATATGCACTCAATCCCATTCCTTTCTGTTTATTTCAGGGATAGCCTTTATTAATCTTTCCTTCTGTCTCTTCTGGGTTAAATCTCTCCCTCTCTACTGCCACTCCTTCCTCCTCCATCCTCCCCCACCCCCCTCCAGTTTATTAGGACCATACTCAGATGTCTCTTATTCTAAAGCAAAACAAAACAAAAAACCCTTCCCATAACAGTATTAGTCCCTCCAAGCTATCAATTTACCTCTTCTTCTTCTTGCTATCAAGCTATTAGTAGAATAGTCTATATTTGCTATCCTTACTGCCCTATCACCTATACTCCTATCTCATTCCCTTGAAACTGGTTTTCATCTCCACATCGTTACTGAGTCTGTTTTTTCAAAGATAATAGTTAGTCAATAAACATTTATTAAGCACTTACAATGTGCCAGATACTGTGCTAAGTGCTAGAGATACAAATATAAAAAAGAAAGACAGCTCATTGCTTATTGACATTATGGAGAAGTCTAAAGGAATGTGGTTGAGTGGGAAATGAGCAAAAAGATACAAGAAGCTAACTAGATCAAGTTTATTTAAACAATATGAAGATAGCAAGAAATAAATGTCAAATTTCCAAGTGAGGAGGACCCACAGATAAAAGAATTTTGGGGATCCAGTGTTATTAAAATCTCTTCAGTGATATAGAAATTCCCTTAAAGGCAAAAATGCGCAACTTTGAAATGGAGGAAAAAGTAAATTGGGAAATTTAGAGTAAGGAGAGACATTGCTGCTTCAGCGTCTTATTGATACAGTTATCTTGCAGCATTCAAGCCTTCATTGACTCATTTCTGTTCTGGTGCATTTCTCCCACCTATATGGCTCAGGGGGGGCCATTCTTTCACCTAACAAGGCAGCTGTTCATCCTCAAACCCAATCCAGTCAACTAAGCATTGAGGCCACTTAATGGAAATCCTCCATCTTCCAACTCTTAATTTTAGATCCCCCAAACCTTTGACGTTAGATCCCTTCCTACCCTTGAGCTACCACGGGTGACTTTGCCCTGACCTATACCTTACACCTATTTCTAGTCTCCCATTTTCCCACCTTTGCATATTAGACCATTGCAGCTCATAACCACAGCTTTATAATACAGCAGCCACCAGACCCACCACCCATCACCACAACCTTAGTGCTCATCTCAAGTTAATTTTAAGCTTCTGGAGCTCTGGAATCTGACATTTATGGAGCTATGTGGGTTTCTACACCAAAGTTCCAGATTCTAGGAGCCATTAAGCTGATTGCTCTTCTCTACAGCTGTGGCCTCCCATAGCTGTTAGGTTGACCACCCACTTCCATAGTTTCAGGCACCAGATACATTTAGACAACCACAAACACTGTCCACATCCATTATTATCACTTTAAGTTCCTGACCTTAAGACTGGAGCTTTCTTAGATTCTTGTATTTGTAGCTGTTACTTCCAAGTCCAAAGAAGGTCACCTAGGTCCCTTCTCCCTGATGCTAAAACTTCTTCTGCATTCTCAGCTCCAACTGCCACCCAGTACACTTTTCCCAAACTTGTAGCCACAGCCACTGCCATATCTAATTGGCAATACTAATAAAAGCTAAGAAAAAATATGGCACAAAAAGAATTCTATACTAAAATAAGATCCAAGGCATAAAATTTCCTCTGAAATACAAACTGAAAAACAGATGGATATGTTTGACATAATACCAAAGAATAAGATGAATTAGATAATATATTAAAGACATCCTGAAAGATAAGAAGCAAAAAAAAAAAAAAGAAAATGGAACAATTAGGGGACATAGAAAGTAGCAATATTTAAAAGCATCAACAGGTTTAACAGATAAGAGAATGAACTGGTATTAAAGCCCTTCACCACCTGGTTCAACCTACCTTTCCAGGCCTATTACAAATTCTTCTCCTTCATGAAGTCTACAGTCAAGCCAATCTGGATTTTTCTGTTGTCTTAACACATGCCTTTCCATCTTCTATCTCCATGCCTTTGTACAGCCTTTATCTCATGCCTAAAATGTGCTCCCTCCTTCACTTCTGCCTCTTAGCATGTCTAGGATCCTTTAAAGTTCAACTCAAACACCAGCTGCTCCTTTAAGGGCTTTTCCTGATATCGTTCCACCAAAAGCTAGTGCCTCTCCTGCCTCCAAAACATACTTTGCATATATTTTGCATTTGTTTATTTGTTTTTCTATCTATCTATCTATCTATCTATCTATCTATCTATCTATCTATCTATCTGTCTGTCTGTCTGTCTGTCTATCTACACATAAAAATGCATATAAGTTCCTTAAGGGAAAACACTTTTATTTCTGTCTTTGTCTGCTTAGCACTTGGAACAGTGCTTGGCACATTTTTTTTTTTTTGCCGGGAGGGAGGGTCAGGAGGAGGGAACGTTCTGGTCCTGTGATTTCTTTGGTGTTAGGATCTCCCAGGGAGGAAACTCCATCTACCAATGAAAATCAATCAGCAGTTGTTCTGCAACTTACAGACTTAGAGAATTGCCTGGACACTGAAAGGATAAGTAAATGGACTCGGCATCACATACAGCCAGTTTTTCCAGATGTGGATTTTGAACCCAGGTCTTGTGAAACCTGAGGGCAGCACTCTATTCACTCTGACACAGTGCCTCTCTAAATGGTCAGTTAACAAATTGTCAAGCAATACCAAAATCGAAGAACAAACCCAGAATGTAACAGAACTTAAAAACTACTGGAAGGCCTATTTATATAAGACTTTCCAGAGCAGATAAGAAAGGAAAAATTCTATAAGTGAAGGTAATATATAGAATTCTAGCATAGAAAAATACTAATTACAATTTCCCAAGCCATGTACTTATTAAATTTCAGAATTAGAAAGTTAAAAAAATCAATACTTGAGAAAGAAAAAAGATATTACATGCTTGACTTCTTAAAAACATTAGAAAAAAATGACTTGTTTGTAGGAAAAAATAATTTAAAATTTTAACAAATATACAAACATCTTCCTCCTTTCCTTTCCTGTCTGTGATTTGTCCTCCTCTTCTTCAGCAATACTCCCTATACTATATACTATAGACTGAGAAAGTCCAAGAATTCACAAGACGATATGATGAAACAATTTTAAGGAAATATCTGAGGAAAAATAAGACAAAGGACTAAAAAAGAGAGTTATTTCATGTGAGGATAAAATCACAGAAACATGAAAAAATTTCCCTAAAATTGCACAGTTTGAAAAATATTTGTAATTTATACAAATAAAAATGATGATTTTCAAGGGCAGAGCAAAAAAAAAAAAGAAAATTTAAGAATGAGTGGGCTTCCTAAAAATGGCAAAGAAGAATCTGATCACCATATTTCCAGAAACAGTGCCAGGAAAATTTCTAGAAATATTGAAAAAGAGGACAGATGGCTAAAATGACAGAATTTTTAGGATGCCAACAAGAATCATCCCTAAATTTAACTAACCTAGAAATATTATTGTTGAGATTTAACACTATAGTGACAAGGAGATGAGTTTTTACATACAGCTAAAAATGTGCAGAAAATACATGAAACTCTTTAAATTTTATGACAAAATTCACTTGAAATTTATTCCAAATTCAGTTTTATAGCTAAGCATTTTTAAAAAGAGATGTCAAGAATATGCTGGAAAATGTGGTAGTCTTAAAGCAGTTTTTGACATGCAAACATAGTAAGGTTTGAAAATTTGAAGGAAGTTATAACTGTGAGTAAATGTAAACTTTATATGAAAATGTCAGTGAGTATGAGTGTGTGGCATAGTAGATAAAAAAAAAACTTGTCTCTGTTCATCTTGAACCTTTAACAAATGACGGTCATGTTGTTGTGGGGAAATCACCTGACCTCTTGGTGGCTGAGGAAATTAACATTTAGGATTTTTTTTCAAATTATGAAATAATTTTCTTCCTACAATTCTCTTGCATTGAATGTGTAAGCAAAATCTCTGTAATACATATGTATTGACAAGTAAAACAAATTTTTTGGTTGGCCATGTCCTATATTTTGTCATCAGCCCTCTGGAATGGTAGCTGGTTATTTTGTTGATCTGAATTCCTGAATCTTTCCTGAGATTATCTTTATAGTATTGTTGTTAAGTAGAAATTTTTCTCCTCATTCTACTTACTTAATTTTGTATCAGTTCATAAAAGCCTTCCTAAGTTTTTCTGAAGCTATCCCTTTAATCATTTCTTATAGTACTATAGTATTCCATCATATTTATATATTATAACTTGCTCATTAACTCTCTAAATGATGGGCACTCTCTATTTCTAATTCTTGCCACCACAAAAAGAGCTGCATGAATATTTTTGTACAAATGAGTCCTTTTCTTCTTTTTTTGGATTTCTTTGGGGCTATCTGGTAATAGTATCACTCAGATCAAGAGGCAGGCACAGTTTAATAATATTTGGGCATACTTCAAATTGCTTTCCAGAATGGTTGAACTGGTTCACAGATTTACCAACACTGTATTAACATATTTGTTTTCTTATACCCTTTCCAGCATCTGTTATTTAGCATTTGTCAACTTTTCCAAACTGATGGGTATAAGGGGAAAGTCAGAGTTGTTTTAATTTACATTTCTCTAATTGTTAGTGATTTAGAGCAGAGGTGTCAAAACCACTTTCTGAGGGCCACACTGAAGTCTACACAACTCTACAGTACAACTTGAACCAGATCAAAATGTAAATAGGAAATATTTAACAAAATAAATAAAACTGTAATAGGACATAGGTAATATTCATTTGTGATTTTTCTAAGTCAATATGCACCCACAAGGATCTTTATGTATAATTTAGTGGCCCTTATTTCTATTTGAGTTTGACGCTACTGAGTTAGAGTATTTTTTCAAATGTCTATCGGTGGATTAAATTTTTTTCTCTGAAAACTTTCTTTTCATAACCATTTGTCAATTGAAGAATAACTTTTATTTGCATAAATATGACTCAGTTGCCTATGTTTCTTAGAAATGAGACCTGTAAGTAGTATCAGTCTAAAACCAAGAACAATAATTCCCTGTAATGGAGACAAACTAGAAGCCTTCACAGTAATAGCAAGGGTGAAGCAAGGATGTCCACTATCACCACCGTTATTCAATATTGTACTAGAAATACTAGCTATGGCAATAAGATAAGAAAAAAAAATTAAAGTAATAAGAAAAGGCCATGAAAAAATAAAGCTATTACTCCTCAGAGATGATATGTTGGTATACTTAGAGAACCTTAGTTGACTAAAAATTAGCTGACACAATTAACTTTTGCAAAGTTGTAGGATGTAAAGCAAGCCCACATAAACATCAGAAATATTAATTGCTCATTGGTGGGCTGAGCCAATATAATAAAAATGACAGTTCTACCTAAATTAATTTATTTATTCAATGCCATAACATTCAAACTACCAGTGAATTATTATATAGATCTAGAAAACCATCCAACAAAATTCATCTAGAAGAACAAAAGATAAACATATTAAGGTAACTGATAGAGTGAAAAGTGAAGGAAGTCTAGCAGTAGCAGACTTCAAATTATATTACAAAGTGGTAATCACCGAAACAAACTGTTACGGGATAAGAAATAGAGTGGTTGATCTTTGGAATAGATTGAGAACACAATACATAGTAGTAACTGGCATAGTAATCTGGTTTCTGATAAACTCATATATCCAAGTTTTTGTGGCAAAAACTCACTATTGAACAAAAATTACTGTGAAAACTGGAAAATAGACTGAAAGAAAGTAGTTGTTCATAAACAAAACCAATGCAGTGAAAAATGGAATGAAAGCAGAAAGCTGGGGGAAATTTTTTATAGCAAATTTCTCTGACAAAAATCTCTTTTCCCAAATATATAAGGAACTGACCCAAATTTATAAAAAATGACAGCCATTCCCCAACTAATAAAATGGTTAAAGGTTATGAGCCATTTTCATAAGAAGAAATCAAAGTTGTCAATAGTCATATGAAATGTTCTAAATAATTAATAACTAGAGAAATGAAAATCAAAATAATTCCAAGACACCACCTCATACCTATCACATTGGCTAACATGACAGAAAAGGAAAAAGATAAATGCTGGAAGGGATATAGGAAAACAGGTACACAAATGTACTGTTGGTGAACTTGCAAACTGGTCCAACCACTTTGGAGAACAGTTTGGAACATATGCCCAAAGGGCACAGCAAATTACGGGCACCTTTTGACCTAGCAATATTGCTATTAGATCTGTATCCCAAAGAGATCAAAGGAAAAGGAAAAGAACCTAACTATGCAAAAAATATTTATAATAGCTCTTTTTATGATGGCAAAGAATTGGAAATTGAGACATTGCCCATCAATTGGGGAATGACTGAACAAGTTGTGGTATATGATTGTGATGGAATACTATTGTGCTACAAGAAATGATGAGGGGAATGGTATCAGAAAAACCTGAGAGGACTTATATGAATTGATGCAAATGAAGTGAGCATACCCAGGAATGCAATTTATACAGTAATAGTAATATTGTAATGTTGATCTCCTGTAAAAAAACTCCAGGTACTCTGATCAATGCAATGATCCATGAAATTCCAAAGAATTTATGATGAAGAGAGAGAACTGAGGAACTCTGAGTGCTTATTGAAGCATATTTTCACTTCCTTTACATTCTTGCCTTTTTTTTTTTTGCAACATAATATAGAAATATGTTTTGCATGACTTCACGTGTATAATGGATATCAGATTGCTTGCCTTCTCAATTGGTGGGGAGAGAGAGGATTTGGAACTCGAAATTTAAAAAAAAAACCTGCTGTTTAAAAATTAACAACTAGTAAAAAATTGAAATCTAAAAATATATAATCACATATATAACATACATGCATAATATAATCATAAAAATAAATCATTACCATTAAAAAAGAAATGAGTCCTTTATCAGAGAAACTTACTACACAGATTGCCCTTGTCCCCCATTTAGCCGCTTCTGTTCTAATTTTAGCTACATTGGTTTTGTGTGTATAAAAAAAAATATTTTATCTTTTGTGGTTCTCTCTATCTTTTGTTTGGTCATGAACTCTTCTCCTATTCAGATGATTTCCTCTAATTTGTTTATGTTACTTTTTATGAATAAGTCATACACCCATTTGGAGTTTATCTTGATATGCAATGTGAAATGTCGGTCTATAACTATTTTCTTTTAGAATGCTTTCTAGTTTTCCTAA